GCTCCGCTCCCTCTCGGTTCTCGCTCGGCCGCCGCCACCCGCGGCTCCTCCCGCCGCCACCATGTACGACGCGGACGAAGGTGAGGGGCTTTCCCTTTGTTTCTGCTCGCCTTTTCCTCCGTCCCGGCCAGGGGTGGCGCCGGGGCCCGCGGGAGCCGGGAGATGGGGGGGATGCGGTGGCATCTCCCGCGGGAGCCGGGGTGGCCGGTGCCAGGCCAGGGGGGACGCCGCGGTGGTCGGAGCCTAACTCATTCGTTGTGCTTCCTCGCAGATATGCAATATGACGAAGACGATGATGAAATCACCCCCGATCTGTGGCAAGAAGCCTGCTGGATTGTTATTAGGTGACCTGCTGAAATTCGCTGTCCTTACCCCTTCGGCACATGTGCTCTGGGTCTTGCGGGTGACATGCAGCTTGCTGCCGGGAACAGTTCTGGGAGCTGCAGGCTTGGTTGTGCTAAGCTGTGTGTTGCACGTTCAGAGCGGGAGGGCTTTTAGTAGGAACAAAGGGATCTCGGCAGGGATTAAGAAACTCAGCACACACTTTTCTTCAGTGAAGAAAAAGGTGGTTTTGAGTCCATATCAAGCACATGGTTTTGCCCACTAATCTCATAGATGATGCTGGCATTAGGAAGTCAGTATTTGGCTATTTTCACCATTTTGGTGGTGGGGTTTTTTTTTCTAGCAAAACACGAGTGTCCAGGACACTGCAGCTTAGACAGTTAGCTAAAGCAAAGTAATTTACAGGTGTTATTGAAAACTTGAGCTGAAGCCAGTTTCAGTAAGGTTTGTTATCACTTTTTTCTTCCAATTTAAGGGAAAATTAAGGCACTGACTGTGCATGCAGTCGTGGCTTAGCCAAGAGGTGGCAGCAAGTGTGTCACTCTAAAGTGTCTGTGTCTTTAGGCAGGGAGGGAATTGTTAAACATTTGTGAGGAGCATCTGTGTTTGAAACTCATGCCTTGGGTTAAGTGAGTGTTTTTGATTCTGCACTATATTTTTATTTGGTAATAAACGTATCTTAATTTTATTGATGTGTGAAGTGAATTAAATTTTCTTATTATCCTGCTCTTTTTTTAGCTCCTATTTTGATGAAAAGGGTTTAGTCAGGCAACAGTTGGATTCCTTTGATGAGTTTATTCAGATGTCTGTGCAGAGAATTGTTGAAGATGCTCCACCAATTGATTTACAAGCTGAAGCCCAGCATGCCTCAGGAGAAGTGGAAGAGCCAGTAAGTGGAGAACCTTGGCAGAGATTATGTGTTTTTACAATGCAAAGTAATTTTAAAACAGTTTTATTCCATCCCTGTTCCTCTGTTTGAGTTGAGAAGTGGCCAAGAACAAGTGGCTGCTGCAGCTCGTATTGTCAGTTTCTCTGCAAAACTGCATGGACAGAGATTTACTAGAGCAGGCCAGCTAGCCAAGAGCAAGCTGTGTTTTGGTGAGATTTTGATTTTTCAGCAGCTTTACCATGGCAAGAAAGGTTTATGGCCAGAAACTTCTCTCTTAGCTTTGATTCAGATTAGGTCCAGGTTTTCGAAGGGTGCTGTTGTTCATCTTCTGTTGGCACCATCCTCTGAGGAGGACAGATTGTCTCAAGTTTGCAGCCCATGATGGCTCCTCTGCAGTGAGGGCGCACCTTCTGCAGTGGCTCTGGTGCTTTCACCTTGTGTAGTCTGATCCCTGTTCCATAAGTGCTAATGGTGTTGAGCCATTGCCTTGCTGTCAGTCACTACCTTGACGCTTCCCTCTAGAGATTTAAAGGAACTTTGGGACACCAGAGCATTGAATTTGTTACACGGTTTTCCTGTTCCTTTGCATTTTTTTGCAAGCAAGCAACTATCCTGTAGAGAATAACTGAGGTGTCTTTTGGCTTCTTTGCTAGGCAAATGGTTCATAAACATTTAGCTCACTAATTTTTAATATTTCCTGTTATTCTGCATATATTATGGCAGAATTCTCTACTTGTGCAGTTCTGCAGCTGATGTTTCTCCTGTGTCTGGTCACAGTTCAGATCACAAGCATGGTTTGTGCTGGGCTTCTTTTTGCCCAAAAGCTGGTATTTTACTTTCTCAAATCACAGAGGTTAGCATCTTATTCTCATTTATTAAAAGCAAGTTTTTAGGAATAGGTTGAGAGATGAAAAAAGAAAACTCTAAAGGAAAAAGAGAGTCACAGACAATCTCTCACCACTTTTAAAGATGCTAGACTAACCTAAGAAAATGTGTGTATTAGGAAAAACTTGAATTTTTTGGTTTCTGTCTCCCTCTGCTTCTCAGTCTTAAATTTTGAAGGCAGTTTAGAGCACTTGAGAGGGTTTAGCAACCATGCTCAGAGCTAAGAATGATGGTAAACGTATTCTTAAGATTGCTTTAATGAGAACTTGGGAAATGGTACTGTGTGTGGCTGTTGCTGCAAATCCAGGAAAAGGTATTTCTTCACGTAAGGATTCAGATTTTTCATTGACTTATAAAACGTTTGCCAGCAAGGGTTTGCCACCTCCTGTTGTAGGGAGCTTTTGTCCATTTTAAAAATCGGATTGTTTTCCAAAAACTCAAGTTTGTTTACTTGAGTACTTTACTTGAGTTTACTTGAGTACTTTGTTTAATTGTCCCATAGAATCTTCCTAGGAGCCCATGTTACCCAGCTTGCTGTGCTTTCATGTATTTGCTGTTCTTCTGCAGTAACAGTTCTGGTTGCTAATAGTGGAGATGTTTCTTCCATTACAAATAAATATACCCCTGTTTTCCAGCCTCGGTATCTGTTGAAGTTTGAACAAATCTATCTCTCCAAACCTACGCATTGGGAAAGAGATGGAGCACCCTCACCTATGATGCCAAATGAAGCCAGACTGAGAAACCTGACGTAAGAGCCAGCTCTGTGGTGGACAAACAGAAGGGAAAATTGTGTCTGCCTTATTAATGCATACCCTTTTACAATACAGCAGTGCCATGAGAATGTAGTAATTACTGCATTGTTTAAAATTCCATGTCTGGTTGTTAAAGGGCGGTGATTGATGGTTTGGTAATGTTTAATACACCGGTGAGTGTTTGAATAGCTGCCTTCATTACTCGGGGTTGTACAGGAAGGTAGTAACTGTCAGATAACACAGTGGTGTTTTTATTCTGTAGGTATTCTGCCCCCTTGTATGTGGATATAACTAAAACAGTTATTAAAGAAGGGGAGGACCAGTTGCAGACCCAGCATCAGAAAACCTTTATAGGAAAAATTCCTATCATGTTGCGTTCCACATACTGTTTGCTGAATGGCTTAACTGACCGTGATCTTTGTGAGCTGAACGAGTGTCCACTTGATCCTGGTGGCTACTTCATCATTAATGGATCAGAAAAGGTAATGGATATACCTTGCACAGCTGTCTTTACAGACACTGAAAGTTCTGTTATTTGTTGCCATATGTTTTGCTAGAAGCATAAACACTCTTCTTCCAGTGTACCAGAGGTACTGTGGGAGCTCCTGATCTTGCAGAAAGATGGGCTTTTAGTCATCTGTTAGGGCTTTCTCAAGCCAAATTTTTGTCTTTGAGGCACATTTCCCATCTTCAGTTCTTCCCTTCTTCATTTTTGTGAACTGCTTTGTGTTTAGTGAACTGTTTGCCAGTAAGTGCTTCAGAAAATCATATCCACACCCTGTTAGTGCCTCACCAGTGAAACTGACATTATTTTCTAACTGATAACCTGAGCAAGCACAGCAAAATAATTAGAATTTTATATTTCTTCTTGGGGAAAGGAAAAATCTGGCTTTGATTGTTGAGCTGGCATTTAAATTTGCCTGTATAGTGTGTTGGCCTTGGAAAAACAGGTAATGAACTGCTTTCTTTATCAAAGTGAAATGTCTTGGCAGAGCCAGCAGTGTGGTAAGTAGTAACAGACAACAGTGTTCCCTGAGTTTCTTGGTTTGGCTATTCCATCTTAACTAGCTGTATATTTCTTTTAAATCTGTATTTTTAAAACATAGAGTTTGGCCAATTGACTTCATGCTGTGCAGCACTCTAAAAGTTAAGGCACCTGAAGGAATAGTAGAAACAGTGTGAATGTTGCTTTCAGTATTCTCTTTGGTCAGTTATTTATTTGTCCTCTTGTTTCTAACACAGGTTCTGATTGCCCAGGAGAAAATGGCTACGAACACAGTGTATGTGTTTGCAAAGAAAGATTCAAAATATGCCTACACAGGAGAGTGTAGATCTTGTCTGGAAAATTCCTCTCGACCAACTAGTACTATATGGGTCAGCATGCTGGCCAGAGGTGGACAGGTATGGCTAGACAGTAATAACCCCAGAGACTGATTTAGGAGTTTTGTTGCTGTCCTGTCTCTTTGTGTCATTTGCTTTTGAGAAGAAATTTCTTCTGATGCTAAGCTGTAAAGAAGATAAAAGTCAACAAAAATTCGTTTGTCATATGTTATGCCTGTCTCTATAATAAGTAATTTGAGGAATGAATGAAGAATGAATCAATTTGTGGCAGGTTTTAGGGCAAGGGAAAAAAATAATTTTGAACTTACTGTGCATGAGTTTTTAGAAAATTCAGATAAGCTGTGTCCTGTTTTTTCACAAAGAATAAGTAGAAGAGCAGGGACTCTCCCTTTGCTGATGGCCAAGCTAGTGTTGAGATGTGCCCTGATTGAACACTTGTGCTTGGGTTCTTTTTCCCCCTTGGACTGAGATTGATGAGGGAGAGGCAGTTTTCTCTTGTTCAGACTTGGTTGTTTATTCTTCTATTATATATATTACATTTATACAGGGTACAAGGAGCTATGTGCACTAAGATAGAAAGGTGCAAAATGGCTAACAAAGAACTTCTTCAAGGTCTTTTATGTGACTACTTAACCAATTAACAAATGCCAAGTAAATTATTTTTCGTAGTGACACAATGACCCAACACCTGTGTGCTGCACTGTGGCATTCTCTATCCAGTCACCTACTACTACCCAAAAACCTCTAGAAGAAGAAGGAAAAGAGACAACCCCCTAATTCTTCCATCTTGCCTATTTCTTAAACTAGCTTAAACCTTTAACTTTCTCACCCAGTGACTTAAGAAAACTTTCTAATTTACACACTCACATTTTCAGTTTCTCTACTTAACTAACAGTTGACTCTGTGTTGTTATGTGAAATTCAGTGCTTTCTTGGGTGTCAGACTTAGGCATCACAGATAAAGATATATATCTTGCATCTCTGACCCCAACAGAGATGTATTTTGCAGACCACATATTAATTCATATTTAACATCTAGTTGTGCCATCTGTGAGGGGAAATAAGTGCTTCTTGTAACTTCTAAAGCAAAAGGTGTCAGTACTCATTTAGTATTGCACTGATGTTTTGGAGTTTTCCAAGAGCAACTTCAATAGAAGTTTTACAGTATTCTCACTCCTAATGTCTGGGGCATTCCTGATTTCCTCTGCATCCCACAGCATTTCCTTCTGGAGAAGGGGAGCAGCTACTTGAATAATCACTTGACAAGTGGATTAGAAAAGCTAAGTTTAAGTCTGACAGAAGGAACACTGAAGGTGAATAGGGTTGGTCTTGGCACTGAGAGAAATGATGCATACGAGTGAACGAGTAGTATTTATTTTTCTTTGTAGCAGCAAAAACCTTACAAGTTTTCACACACTTCTAAACTTTGAAATGTTTTTAAAATAAGAAGTCATTGCTGGAGTAAGGTTGCAGAGTAGCTCCTTAGTTGGCCTGCTGAGAAGCCATGTTTTCTTGTGGTGCTTGAATAAATATGCTTATGTTGTATCATCCAAATCCAGAGAGGAACTTTGATTTAAAGGCAGGACGATTTTAGAGACTTTTATTGAAAGGCAGGATGATTTTAAGCCTAAGCTGTGCTTTCCCCCATCTTTGCAGGGTGCAAAGAAGAGTGCCATTGGTCAGCGCATAGTAGCGACTCTGCCTTATATCAAACAGGAGGTCCCCATCATCATTGTCTTCCGTGCACTCGGCTTTGTGTCTGACAGGGACATTCTAGAGCACATCATATATGATTTTGAAGACCCAGAAATGATGGAAATGGTAACATATATTATATTATTTCCTGTTCTCATGTTTGGTGGTGTGTCAGTGTAGGTAGTCATCTCTTGAAGCGTTGTTCATTTTCCAGTTGTAATTTATTTAATATTTTTGTGGGTTCTGTATTAGAAATGTTGAAAGTTCTCTGCCTGAATACATTCTAATGAGTACATTAAGGGGGCAGAGCACAGTGGAAATTTTCAAGAGTTAATATGTATTTGGGAGTTAGGGTTTTCTGCTGTTGTTGACTTGTAAATCTGTTTACTTGTAAATCAAGTAAAATCTTGATTATACCTAAAACTGCATCACACCTAGAATGAACTTGAATGAGAACTAATTTCTGAAGTTTAAACTTTTTTTTGTGTTCTTTCTGCATGCTTCATTGCTGTTTCCTAGTACCAGAAAGACCTGGATCAACAATTAGCAGATCATGAAAATAATCATTAACAAACTACTGTGTAGTTTCCTTCAGCCCCTGCAGGCCCCGGTTGCCACAGGATTTTGCTGTATTTTTGTGCCTTAGGTCAAACCTTCTTTGGATGAAGCCTTTGTCATTCAGGAGCAAAATGTTGCCCTAAACTTCATTGGCTCAAGAGGTGCCAAGCCAGGTGTCACCAAAGAAAAGAGAATCAAGTATGCCAAAGAAGTCTTGCAGAAGGAAATGCTCCCTCACGTTGGTGTCAGTGACTTCTGTGAAACTAAAAAGGCCTATTTTCTAGGGTATGTCAGAACTCTGTCTCACAGCTACAAATGGATATTTTTTACTCATGTGTATGGTTGGAACCTCAGTTGCCTGGATACTTTGTGATAAACCTTGGGGCACTGGTATATTTTTGAGGCTGACAAAATGAAAATTCTGATAAACTAGGAAAAAAAATAACAAAATGAGGCTCAAACACATTTTGGGTCTTAAGTTAAATATGATGATAGTGCTGAACTGACTTTTTTGATATCCAGTTGCATGGATTACATCTAGAAATTGATAACTAAGATATAGATAAGTGCTGACAAGCTGACTGTAATGTAAACCACTCTTTAAAACCAGTAGCACATTGTGTAGATCACTGCTTATTGGTATGCAGATGAAGTGTAGCATCAGGAGACTTGTGAAGTTTTACCTGATGGCATGTGCTTAAACAGTACAGGACAGATACTTAGCAGAAGAGGCATGACCATCATGATGTAAATATTTTCTTCTCTCTGTCCTTAACCTGAACTTTCTGTGGGTCATCCACCTCTAAAGATGTGCTGAAGTTTATTTTAGGACAGTGGTAGCCTAAAGATCTCAAATGGACAGCCTTTAGAAAAGAGTTCACAGACTTATCTATGAAAACATGTAATCTTTGTTGTGAATGTCTGCTGTCAGTTTAAAACAAACTGGTTTCTGTTTTAAAACAAAAATTAGGTATATGGTTCATAGACTGTTGCTGGCAGCACTGGGAAGAAGAGAGCTGGATGACAGAGATCATTATGGCAACAAAAGACTGGATCTTGCTGGGCCACTCTTGGCTTTCCTGTTCAGAGGGTAACTATCACATACACATTTTTTTCATTTAATTTCATCTTTCATTGCCTCAATGGTAGAGGCATTGCCAGCTCTGTGCTTCTAAATCAGACTAATTCTGTCGTGTCAGAGAGCCAGTCTTGAGCAACACAGCTTCTGTCTGATCATGACGTTTTCATGGAATGGTTGAGTTTCCTGTAACAGTGGGTGGCCAGCATTGACTTGTTTTGAAGCATATTTTGTGCATGCTTACAAACAGCTTAATTTGCTTTATTCCCCTCTGCCCCCTCACCCTGGTTTCAAATTATTTCTTTTCAGGAGGCCAATGACTGGTGGTTTTTTTTTTCAAATAGCCCCTGAGTAGGCTAAATTGCACAGCACTGTTTAATCAGATTTCTCGGTGTCTTTCTTCCACAGAATGTTCAAGAATTTGCTGAAGGAAGTGAGAATATATGCACAAAAGTTCATTGACAGAGGGAAAGATTTCAACTTGGAGTTGGCAATTAAAACAAGAATTATTTCAGATGGTTTGAAATATTCATTGGCAACTGGAAACTGGGGTGACCAGAAGAAAGCTCATCAGGCCAGAGCAGGAGTATCTCAGGTACAGTAAGGGCTTTGTCAGGTTTACAGTTCTTATGATAAAACAGTTCTCATAGAAGAGTTTAACATTGCTTAGCAGTGTGTTGTATGTTAAACAGAAATATTCTTAAAAGGAAATTTCCTTAGGTGACACAGACGAAGATCCAAATAGTTGGATCTTCATAGGTGTGTGGTTTAGGGTTATTTTGTCATGGTTTGTTTGCTTTGGCTATTGCATTCACTGCTAAATAGTTGGTGTAACTCTTGTATAGATTTTTTTTGTTAGATCATACACTTTTGTGTAAATTTCTAGTCCCAGGGAATCTTTCAGGAGGATGGATTTCTTTCCTTTAATTACTTCCAGTGCTTTGCAGGCAGTTAAAAAAACTTGAGGGGCCCCATATAACATAAAAGTTATGTATTCCACAGCAAATGATGAGGAGCACTGATTTTATTAGCCCAGGGTCTTGCTGCAATAGAAGCATGCTCTAGAAACTTCTGCCACTAAAACACCAGTTAGAAGCTTGAGATTCTAGGGGTACTGCGAGATGAGGTGAACTAAAAAGTGTAGCTAACAAGAATCAGAGCTGTTTTAGTTCTTGTTAAGCACATCATTTCTAGAGGGCATTGATCCTTTGTGCTAGTGTGTCATGGTTCCTGTCAGCAACACACTTAAGAAGCTTTGACTGAACTCCTTCCTCCATGCAGGTGTTGAACCGCCTGACTTTTGCATCCACTCTCTCCCACCTGAGGCGCCTGAATTCTCCGATTGGGAGAGACGGAAAACTGGCCAAGCCGCGGCAGCTGCACAACACCCTGTGGGGAATGGTTTGCCCTGCTGAGACCCCTGAGGTAATGAAAGCAGGATTTGTATACTAACTGCCTTTCCCTCACAGTCCTTTTGTAGCCATGACACTTATGATAATCCCTCGCACTTTTTTTTAATAATGCTGATGCAAATATTTACCTTTATAGCTAACTCGGTAGTTGAGCACATGTTTTTTGTGTCCAGTTCCTTGAGGAGTTAAGATTAAATTCGTGAATCTTCTTGGGGGAACCTCTTGATTTGAAAATGCAAGTTAACTTTGTCTTTCTGCTAGGGTCATGCAGTAGGACTTGTGAAGAACTTAGCCCTGATGGCTTACATTTCTGTGGGGTCTCAGCCATCCCCAATTCTGGAATTCTTGGAAGAGTGGAGTATGGAAAACCTGGAAGAAATATCTCCAGCAGCAATAGCTGAGTATGTGCACATAAAACACTTTAAACAGACTTAAGTTTTTTATCCTAGATGGACATCATTGTGTCAGAGGTATAAATCTTTACATCAAGAGTTCGGGTGTCCTTTTAGACAGGAGAAGATAATGCCTTGATACTACATTTCAAGTTTCAAGTAGCATTATTTGCAAGTCGCTTTCTCAATATGCTTCACATTGGGTTTGTTTTGTGTTTTATTTGGGGGGGGGTTGTATTTGGTGCTTTTTTTTTTTAATTTTTATCTTATGTTTGATTGCATATGTTTGTTGCTTGGTTGTGGGGTTGATTTTTTTTTAGGGGGGGTTGTTTGTTTTTAAAGAGGATCCAGTTGAAAGACAAAAAGTTGAAAATAATCTTCTGAAACGCTTCTGTTTGTAGGAGTGTTACTTTGTTCTGTGCTTCTGACAGTACCTGGAAAGTCTTTGCTTTAGGGAACTTGGTCATCCTGTCTTATGTTCTGTGGTTCTGATTCCAAGCTGGGACTTTGTACTCATGGGGTGCTGCTGTCTTGCCCAGGTCTCAATGATTAGAGATATTCGCGAGCGAGAAATCCGCATCTACACTGATGCAGGCAGAATTTGTCGGCCCCTTTTAATTGTAGAGAAACAGAAGTTGCTGCTGAAGAAAAGGCACATTGACCAACTGAAGGAACGAGAGTATAACAATTACAGGTGAGATACATTCCTAAAATTCAACTGAAGGTGTTGTTTTCCATCTTGGAAGCTGCATGTTCCCTCAGGCTGGAGAGAGGAATGTTTAAAGCTTTGTGCAACACAAAGATTCTTTCTTTGCCTGGTAGTTTAATCAGTTTTCTTCATCACACTGAGGCAGCAGTAGTAATAGTAAGCCAGGGAAGTCCTTGTTCTTGTCACTGCTGAAGAGACCCATTTTTGGTGTTAATTGAGTTATTGGTTGTTCAGTTGGCAGGATCTTGTGGCCAGTGGTGTAGTAGAGTACATTGACACCCTGGAAGAAGAGACCGTGATGCTGGCAATGACTCCAGATGACTTGCAAGAGAAAGGTGTGGCATATTGTTCAACATACACACACTGTGAGATTCACCCATCCATGATCCTGGGAGTGTGTGCATCTATTATCCCTTTCCCTGATCACAACCAGGTCAGTGCACCTCTGATGATGTCCTGCTTTTAAAGCTGATAGAAAACCCACAGATGTGTGTGTGTGTGTGTGTGTAAAGAGCTTTATGTACTTAATTATAGGTTCTTCCCTTTATCTGTCTAGTCTCCCAGGAACACATACCAGTCTGCTATGGGTAAGCAGGCTATGGGAGTCTACATCACCAACTTCCATGTCCGTATGGATACGCTGGCACACGTGTTGTATTATCCCCAGAAGCCCCTGGTAACAACGCGCTCCATGGAGTACTTGAGGTTCAGAGAGTTACCAGCAGGTACGGTGTCAGTTCGTGTTCATGGAACAAAAATACTACCTTTTTGTTTTGTTTCAAACACGTCACAAATGGTGTGTGTAGAGTTCCTGAACATTTAGCAAATGTGTGCAATTTAAGAAATAAGTATAGGTTTAGTGTTAGCTTGTAGCTGGACACCTAGACTGCAAAAAATTTGTTGGTAGTGTTGAAGCTGAAACTATCTTACCCAAAAAAAATCTGCTAAAATCTAACTGAAAAAATGCATTTTCTGTATTGATGCTTGGTAGGTTTTTCACAAGGGGTCACTCTTGACTCTCTTTTCTATCTAGAGTTGCATCTGCTGATACTGTATGTTTCTGTGTGTAGGATGTAGAGATTTTATCTGAGAAAGGGTAGAAAAGCTTTGCTGTAGAGAGTACAGCCTACTTTGAGATAAAATAGTGTCTGTCTGGGCATGTGTGCATTCTTTCAAAATATTTTCTCTGCATATTGTAGGTATCAACTCGATTGTAGCCATTGCATCATACACAGGCTATAACCAGGAAGACTCTGTCATTATGAACCGTTCTGCTGTTGACAGAGGCTTTTTCAGGTGAGACTTTGTACATTTTTTAATTGCTTGGAATTCAAAAAAAAAAGCTATACTGAGTTGTCCAGAGGCTCAAGAAGAGTTCATTTTATGCTGGAAGATGCCATTCTCCAAATCTTTTCAACTTGAGAAGCTTTTTACTTTTTTTTTTTTAATGGGGATGGAGGGAGCAACACAATGAAAATAAGTGAATCCTAGCAAAACACCTTGAAACCTGACTGCTCACTTTGTCTTCTTGATCTTCCATTTTGATCTTTATTCTGTTTAGGGTCCTTTGAATCACAGTTTAATGAAAAAACATTTGGACTCTTCCATGGTGTATTTTCATGTAACTCTTGCCAGTTACCAGAACAATGTTGCAGCATTTTAGCATAGTCCTGTCTTTATTAGTGAGACAGTTGCTACCAGTAAGGATTGGAATGTTCCTCTCCTTAGAAGGAGCTGCTGTTGGCACAGCTGGTGGCCGATGTGACTTAATGCATTATAGTATCTGAATGCACTTCGATGTGCTGGCAACTGAGGCAGCAAACAAAAACCCTTAAAGCACTAGAAAGAACCTTATATAAATTGCAAGTTTTTCACTGCAGTTCAATTGTACTGAATGTGGCACTCAGGGTAGCAGTAGAAGCCTAAAAATGTCTGCAAAATTTTGTGCATAAAGAGGAAGGTAATATGAGAATGATAAGTTGTAGATCTGAATAATCAGGATTAGGAATAATAACTACTTCTGAGGTGTCAAGCAAATACAAAAGTCTTTGCACTTCATCAAAAATTAGCATGTTACCTTAGGGACTTTGGCAGTATCTACAAAGTGACCATCATAGTGCCCTCTGAAACTTTTTTGTTTGGTGGGTTGTTTTTTGTTTTCCCCTCCTCAGTGAAGGTCAGATTAACAGGAAATCAGAGGAAAGGTTGTGTGGCATGCACTCATTATTTGCGTTTGTCATTAGTAACAGTAGCCATAATATGTGAAAATGAGATACACAGATGGGTGAAAATGATGCTGGTTTCACTGGAGAAGACTTCATAACTTTGTTTCAGGTCTGTGTTCTACCGCTCATACAAAGAGCAGGAGTCTAAGAAAGGGTATGACCAAGAGGAAGTTTTTGAAAAGCCTACACGTGAAACTTGCCAAGGTAAGCTAAAGGGGTGTATGAAGACTCGGTTTTTAAATTAAGGTTTTGTGGGCAAGGTAGTTAATGTTGAACTGATTCAGTCTTCATTTTGGGATATATTGATACAGACATTTCTGTATTGTATAGAAATTACCATATCAGTTGAGATATTTGCATTAGGTATTTTAGCAGTTGCCTGAAGTTGCAAGCAGACTTGCTGAATTATTGCAGAACATCAAGAGTCAGTATGTTGAAAAATTTGTGAGTCTACTTTTTTTGTTCCTTTTTCCCCCCTCAAGGTATGAGACACGCAATCTATGACAAACTTGATGATGATGGTTTGATAGCCCCTGGGGTACGTGTGTCTGGGGATGATGTCATCATTGGCAAAACAGTCACACTGCCAGAAAATGAAGATGAGCTGGAAAGCACCAACAGACGCTTCACCAAGAGAGACTGCAGCACCTTCCTGCGGACCAGTGAGACTGGGATTGTAGATCAGGTCATGGTAACCCTGAACCAGGAAGGATACAAATTCTGCAAGATCAGGGTGAGTGCTGATGTTCGTGCTTTCTGCTTTAATAATCTTTGGTCTGTATTCAGGTTACCAGTTGCATGTTTTCCTGTGGCTTACAGGTGCGTTCTGTAAGAATTCCACAAATTGGAGATAAATTCGCTAGCAGACACGGTCAGAAAGGAACCTGTGGTATCCAGTACAGGCAAGAGGTAGTCATTTCTTCTTTCTCTACTGAAGATTTTACCTGTGATGATCTTAGCATTGGAACTGTTCTTAAGTGAATTGTTTGTGAAATATCTACTCAGGTGTAACGTTAACTTAAATGTAGCTAAAATATTTTTAGAAGGGGACGCAGCTGCTTCTTACATATTTCAATGCCTTTTAAATCCTTTAAAAGACTTATTTTGGATCCAGGCACGTACTTTTCCTAAACATGATGTTCTGGAAAGAATTCACTGTGTGTTTCTCTGCTCTAGGATATGCCCTTCACGTGTGAAGGCATCACACCTGATATCATTATCAACCCCCACGCCATCCCTTCCCGCATGACCATTGGTCACTTGATTGAGTGTCTTCAGGGCAAGGTAAGAACAGTCTTCTATACTGCATATCTGAGCAATACGAATTAAAATTTGGTGGTGATAGTTGTTTGCTTTGAGATTTTTTTGATTTTGTTTTTTTTTTGTAAAGGTAAACACTATCTAGTAGGTGTTAATTCACTTAAAAATGTGTCTCCAGTTACTTGATAGCAAAAGGAGGTTTCTTAGGGAAGATGTACAGTCCTGTAAATTTCATCCAGAAGATCAGGCCCTACATACAGTGTACTTTCTCATCTGTTGCTTTTGTTCCAGACATTTCCCCCTGACCTGGAAAAAGGAGTAGCAAAATTGTTTATAGTGTGTATTTTAAAAAATATGTGGCAGATAAGCACAGTGAGATAGGGTACCACTATTGGCATGGAATCTCAAATTCCAGTATTAAGACTTACAACTGCTTGAAACAGCTAAATATGGTCTAACCAGTCCTTCAGAAACCTGACAAACTTTTCCAAATCTCTTCTCTGTAGGTGTCTGCAAACAAGGGAGAGATTGGTGATGCTACACCTTTTAATGATGCTGTCAACGTGCAAAAGATTTCGAACCTTCTGTCAGATTATGGCTACCATCTAAGAGGAAATGAGGTATAACAAAGTATCAATTCACTGTAAGTTTTTTTAATATACATTTGATGGGTAATAAGGCTTATGATGGCACTGACTTCTTCAGGTCCTCTACAATGGCTTCACTGGTCGAAAAATCACCTCCCAGATCTTCATTGGTCCTACCTATTACCAGCGCTTGAAGCACATGGTGGATGACAAAATCCATTCCCGTGCACGAGGGCCAATCCAGATCCTTAACAGACAGCCCATGGAAGGCAGATCTCGGTAAGGATCCCTGTTAGTTTCCATATGGTGTTTTGTTCTTCTGTCCAGTTTTTAGCCCTGAACAAGTAGCTTCAGCTTTGCAGCCTAATGAGCTCACCCCAAATAGCCACACATTTTTTCATGTGTTTGGCTAAAGATCCTGTATTAGTTGCAGGTACCAAGGTTTTGGTAGCAGGAGGTTCTGCTGGGGTGGCCTCTCTGAGAAAGGACCAGGGCTTGCCCTGTGCTGGACACAGCCACTCACAGCTGGCCCTGGCAGTCCCAGTGCTGGCCAGAGCTGAGCCCAGCAGCTGTGCAGGTTGCACCTCTGTGAGGATATATTTAAGAAAGGGTAAAAAGTGCTGTGCAGCAACTGTGAGAGAGGAGTGAGGAAATGCAACAGGAACTGCCCTGCAGCCTGTGCAAAGCCCACGCTGGAGCAGGGTCCTGGTAGGAGGTATGGTCTGTTAGGGACTCCTGCTGCTGCAGTCTGTTCCTGAAGGATTGTACCCCGTGGGAAGGGCCCATGCTGGAACAGTTTGTGAAGGACTATCCCATGGAAGGGGCCACATGCTGGAGCAGGAAAAAGTTGTGAGGAGGAAGGAGCAGCTAAGAGGAGCTGTGGTGCACTGACTGCAATGCCCATTCTCCCAGTCATCACAGGGAGGGGAGGAAGGAGTTGGGAACAAAGGAGTGAAGTAACCCTGGGAAGAAGGTTGGGGAGGTGAACGTTATAGTTTTGTCTTTATTTCTCATCATCCTTCTCCATTTCTAGTGAGTGATAAACTCATTTTCCCCATGCTGAGTGTTTTGTCTGTAATAGTAATTGATAAGCAATTTCCCTGGTTTTATCTCCACTTGTGAGCTTTTCCGTCTTACTTTCTCCCCATGCCTTGTTGACAGGGTGGGGACATCTGGCAGACAGCCAAGGTTAAACCCACCACAGATCAGCAGAGGATGATTTAATCATACACTTAATGATGATTTAATCATACACTTAATTTTGCTGTATGGTTGCGCTGTGGCTGTCAGACACTAGCTGTAGAAATGCTCATCAGCAGTTATTAATTACTGTTTTCACATTTTTATTCTGTGGCATTAGAGGAAAATTAAAATCCTCCTGCCTTGTGATACAGATACTTGTTCCACCAACAAGAACTGATTATTTTGCCAGTAAACTGAAAAGTTGAGGGGTTTTTCTCTTCCTTTTAGTGATGGTGGCCTTCGCTTTGGAGAAATGGAACGAGATTGCCAGATTGCTCATGGAGCAGCCCAGTTCTTGAGAGAAAGATTGTTTGAAGCTTCAGACCCATACCAGGTCCATGTGTGTAACCTCTGTGGAATCATGGCAATTGCAAACACGAGGACTCACACCTACGAATGCCGCGGATGCCGTAATAAAACTCAGGTACGTGTGGTTTTCATCAGCCATTGTTTCTCCTTGTGGGCAGGAGGAAATGCCACTTGAGTGAAGCAGGAGGATAGGGAAGTAAATATTTAAAGAAGCACCAGAACAATTGCTATTTTAGTTTCATAACTGTTTTAAGTGTTTATAGCATTGTAGTCAATTTGGATGCTTCCTAATTAATTTTACAGTGTTGGCTTGTCGCTTGGCAGGAAATGCTGTTCAAGTGTTGTACAGTGCAGAGTTTTCAGAGATTTTAAATGCTCAAGAGCTTATTTTTAGAAGTAAAACTCAGAATCACAGGAATTTAGACGCATCGCCCTTGTGACTGTCCCATGAAGATATTTATGCTTGAGAGCTGGGTCCCCGCGGGAGGTCTTTTGTGTTGCACTTTGGTGGGGTTTTTTTAATCTAATAAAAGCTCTGCAGTGCATGCTTGGTTACAGAAGTATGTCAAGGGACAGAGGTGGCAGAGATAAAAACAGTTGCCTTGAAAAGGCTTGTTTTTGTGCCACGGACTAACAGCTGCAACTCTTAACAGTGGCACTGGGCTTACAGGGTGATGTGTGCTGGAGACCTTACCTGCATTTATGCACTTCAGGCACACTCTGCTATGCACATGTTCTGTGTTAAATGGCTCTTGTTTGGGATCAGATACCTTGGCTTCGTTTTTACATTAAAAATGTGTTCTGGAGAGCTGCTGTGTAGCTCCTACAGACAGTCTCAGCTTCCTTCTTGGTTTGGTACTGTCTGTGAGCAGTTCTTGTTGAATGCTTTCATGCATAGCTCCAGGTTTGCTTTTAAGCCAAAAACCCAAAAAGTTATTTGTGTAGAGGATGGTGGAAGTTGATGCTTTATGGGTGTTTATCACAAGGCTTTTGAAATCTCTTTCCAGATATCTTTGGTTCGAATGCCCTACGCCTGCAAACTCCTCTTCCAAGAACTGATGTCTATGAGTATTGCACCTCGTATGATGAGTGTTTAGCCTTAAAAGGGCTTTTTTTAAAAATTTTGAGACTCAAGTGCTCAGGTTTTGTTTCATTTTGTATACGTTGCTTTCAAAATTAGTTTTACTCATCTGCTGTGTGCTGTTCAAAAGTATGTTTATTTCCTGTAAATAGAATTAAAATTTGTAATTGAACTTGTGTATCTGTGAAAGAAGTGTGCAAGCAAATTAGGACTCAAAGAAAAAGGGAGTTAAGAGGGACTGATTAGTCAGCTAGAAAAAGCCAGAGCTTGCAGCTTTCCAAAAAACTAATTTAAAACTGTGCATAAGTGAAAGTCCTCACATCACAGCTCTGCACCATCATCTGTGGAAAAACAAAAACATGTTACACTCTGTCCTCTCCCACGGGGGAATATTGCAACTTTGGCAATAGCTTTGGGATCTCTTGGTTGACAGTGAGATCTGACCCCTCCTTCCTTCCTTCCTTCCCTGCTACAGGGGGGTGATAATAGACATGTTTTTCTGTGCTGAGATCACATGGCACACAGACTCTCACAGTGTTGCTATGACATCTGACAGTTCGTTCCATTAACTTCATATCCATTTCCTTTAAGGTGGCAGTCTACATTTGCTTATCACAGCTCCAGATGCCTTAGAGCTTTCCTACAGCTGAAAAGAAGCAGCTGTAACATGTGCTGGGTGTGTGTAGGAAACAAACTGCAGCACTGCAACCTCGCAGTAGTTACTGTGAGGGAGGGAGCAAACATTTTCTGTTCTGGGCTATAAGCGAGCTGTTCATGGCACAACTCAGTAAAACTCAATTTCATTCACATCCATAAATAAGATGTTTGAAAAGGGATTAGAGACTACCTTAAAACCATTAGCAAAGTTCCTATGCATTATATTTGGATTCATTGTAAGCTCTCTTTTCAGTGCCTAGTGCTGCTAATGTTCTAAGGGAAGTATTTTAGCTCTTCACAGACATAAGGACACAAAAAGTCAAGACTGTAGGGATTAAAACTAAGGATT